CGATCACGTACGGTCACGTTCGACGACAGTTGACCACGGACGTCTCCGCTTACAGCCCCACACGTGATCTGCGGAAAGACATATATGCCCCATCATGTACTATAGCTTCCTCTTCCTTAAACATGAATGTAAACTGCATGTCGGCCTATATCGTTCTGCTTCAGTCTTTATAGAGCCCATCATATCATCAATCAAAAGGCTATTAAAACAGTAGTCATATACACCTCCTAGCCCAGCTAAAGAAGCGCTTAAGCAGCTGATTAAGGGATATAAGATTACTATATATAACAGTGTATTTCTTACTCAAAAAAATAAACAATTATACACTAAGAATAGACAGCAGGTATATAAGTATACCCTACCTAGACTTCTCCAAAACCCAATTTGGGTCCAAGGGTTGGACCCAAGACCCAACCCACCTGGGTCTTGGGTCCAGCACCTAAAAACCCAACCCGACCCAAGACCCAAGCTGGGTACCCATTGGGTACCCAGGAAAACCCAATTTTGCATAAAAAAGAGGTCTTGGCATGTATAACTCTGCTCAGTCATCAATTTAAAATACTGTTTTTTACATGTGTTTTGCATTCGTTTTAGTTTATATGTTAGAGTCTCTATGAGTCTATACCCTTGCATGTAGCTACTATACCTTTACATGTAGCAGCATTACATCTTAGAAATAGATGTTAGAGAGTAAGTTGATTACTAGTAATAATAATAGATTTCTTATTTGAAAATAATATTAACATTCAGAAGGAAAAATTATTATAAAATATTATATTATATGGATGGAGGATGTAGGGTGTAGAAATTGATATTTAGTAAATGTTGTAGGAAATATATATTTACATGCTGCAGAGGTAGTGCATCTTTTACATGTATGCCCTACAAAAGTGTTACTTTTTATTTTTAAGCTAATTTAGTATTTCTTAGTATTAAATTGAATCTTTAGTTCTATAGTATTTTAACTTAATATTTACTAAATTGAAGAAGATAGTATTCATAAAATAAACGGGTAAAGTAGGGATTCTAAGGAAGCAGCTGGAAGCCTGGGTAAAATTTTTTAGAAGACTTTTAGTAGACTTGGGTTGGGATTGGGTACTTCTTGGGTTTTCATGGGTAATTCTTGGGTTTTCATGGGTTTTCGTGGGTCTTTCGTGGGTTTTTGTGGGTTTTCATGGGTTTTCATGGGTTTTCATGGGTTTTTCATGGGTTTTCTTGGGTTCTTCTTGGGCTCTTCTTGGGCTCTTCTTGGGCTCTTCTTGGGTTTTTGTGGGTTTTTATGGGTTTAAAATTAAAGATATGTGTTATTAGGTATTTATTTATTTCTAATCTTTAATCTTCTATATTTCCTACCTTCTCCTTTATACCCTCATCCTTACACTTATCATTCTTTTATGATTTACCTACCCTTGATACTTACTTACTATTCTTCTTCTACATTTCCCACCCTACCCTTACACTTATTATTCTTTCATGATTTTCATTTAACCTCATGTCCCAAAGCCAAAATTCCAGTTTCCAATCACCTCTCTACCTATCATCATCATTAGGTTATGATGAAGAAGAGTTAGAGACTACTATTCTCCCTTTTTTTTAGACTATCTCAAGCCCACCTAACTCTCTTACTATTTAACTACCTAGTACCCAGACCACACTCCCAAGCTTTGATGGGCATACATTCCTCCGGCCAGATACACCTCCTCCCCCCTCCTCTACCGTTTATCCGCGTTGGACCCGACCGAAGAAAATCCTATTTCCTCTACAATATGGTAGAGCATACTGAGTGGGTTGACTGGTGGCTACAAACTGACTATGGGAGGAAAAGTAAGATCCACTGGGAAGCAGCCCGCCAGGCCCCAATTTGGAATAACTTCCATCAGGTTGCCCAAATCACAGATGGTGCACCAAAGGTTATGTGTAAGCGGTGTAGCAAGGTTCTTGAACATGCTCACTCTGCCTGTCAAAATGGCTACCAAGGCACATCAACCATGGCTAAACACCTAAAAACTGCAAAATGCCAAAACTCTATGAGGCGGAAGGAGAATATTACTGGTTTCCTTATAAGCAAGGTACGTTTTAATGGTGGTGAGATACACAGAGTTGGTGTTTTGGGCGCAAAAAAAAACTCTAGCTGAGATAGCATTTTGTGCACAAAAGAGAAGCTTAAGCAGTAGGAAACTAGCTTAACTACTAAGACAGTAACTAACTATTTAATTAATTTTATTTCACTAGGAAGATGAGCCATCTACTACTCCTGCTCTTGCTCCTTTCTCACAGCTAGGCTGGGAGGAAGAAATCTTACAATTTCTTACTATCAACCGGCTTCCATTCCACCTTATTGAGCATCCAACCTTTCATAGTCTGATTCATAAGGCTCGCTCTTCACCATTACCTCCAACCATCCCGTCTGCAAATACAATTCGTCGGCGACTACAAGATCTAGTTGCAGACCGCCAGAGATCCATTCTTAACCTCCTACCGCCCAGCTCAAAAGTTTCAATTACGCTGGACTGCTGGACTTCTCCGTTTTCGCAAGCATTTATGGCCGTTACTGGCTATTTTATTGATGCAGATTGGACCTATCGGGAGGTGCTTCTTGGTTTTAAACCACTCTCTGGGTCACACTCTGGTATAAGTCTTAGTAGTGTTCTTCTCAACATACTCCAAGAGCATCAGATTACAGACAGAGTTCTTGGAGTTACAACTGATAATGCATCAAATAATAAGGTACCCTCCATCTCCATCTCCATCTCCATCTCCATCTCCATCTCCATCTCCATCTCCATCTCCATCTCTATCCTTAAGGCTACTACTAATAATATACTATATAATTAGACTATGATTGATGCAATTCAACAAGCCCTACCTGAGAATCTTAGCATTACCCGGATACCTTGCCTTGCCCATGTTATTCAGCTTAGCCTTAACCAGCTTCTGGATCGCCTAAAGGCAGCCCCTTTAAATGAGACTACCCAAACTAAATGGACTGAGAAACAATCAACCCTTGCTAAGGATAATTTAAAGCGCCAGAAGTGTGAGATCTCTGTTACCTTGAATAAGGTACGCTATCTTGCAATCTACATTCATGCAAGCCCCCAACGCCGTGAAACATTCATCAATCTTCAAACAGAGGAACCAAAGGTTATTCCAATACAAGATGTACGGACTCGGTGGAATTCAACCTTCCTAATGCTTCGCCGAGCTAAGAGGCTTCGTGATTTTTTCCTCCCATTTTGCCTGGAATATGACTGTAAAGAAATGCTTTTAACTCCAGAGGAGTGGCGCCAAATCGATTACCTGCTCTATCTTACTGAGCCCTTCTTTGAATATACGACTGAGCTATCGAAGACACGAGATATAACCATACATCTTATATTCAAGCTTTATAATGCATTATTTTTGCATCTTGAAAAGTCCATGGCGCAGCTTAGGCAGAAGCGGGTTCCATGGAAAAGGCACATACTTCAGTGCCTTGAAGCTAGCCGATTAAAGCTTGATGAGTACTACACACAGACAGATAGTATTCCAGGGCACATATATGCAGTTGGTACAATGCTAGCTCCTGACAGCCGGTTCCAGTTTTTCCAATCAGATGACTGGGATGGGTCCTGGCGACTTAAGTACCGGAGTGCATTCCAGACAGCTCTTACTCCCTACCAAGAGCACCAAGAGCATCTTTCTCATACGTCAGACACAGGAAGCTCCCTACCTACACCAAAGCTAAGCTTAAAGCTTAATAAGATATTAAACAAAAGCAAACCGAAGACAAGGCTAGCTAAAGATGAAATGACACAATATCTTGATGGTGGTATGTTTGAATTATCAGTATTCTAATATCATAATACCTATATCTATACATACTAACTACCCCTACCTTAGACACTGTTGAGACTGAGCCTCTTCAATTCTGGAGAGAGCACCAAGGACGTTTCCCTATAATCTCTGCACTTGCACGGGATGTTCTCTCAATCCCAGCAACAGGTGCTGGTGTAGAGCGGCTATTCAACACTGCCCGGGATATCTGCCATTATCGCCGTGGTCGTATGAAGTCTGAAACAATTGAGGAGCTGATGCTGTTTCTCTGTGCTTCAAGGTTTGACCTTGAAGGGCAGCAGAGGAAAGAACTTCAGCTATTCTTTTCCTTAGATGAGATTGAAGCAGAAAGGGAGCAATGTGACGAGAGGCTAGATGAGCTTGATGGAGATGGTATAAGTGATCGTGAGGAGGCTGAGGAGGAGGCTGAGGAGGAGGCTGAGGAGGAGGCTGAGGAGGAGGCTGAGGAGGAGGCTGAGGAGGAGGAGGTACTACAGCTACCAGAGATGAGTACTCAGCTACGAACATCGGGAAGGAAGCGAAAGAACAGGGAGGATGATGGATATGAGCATTACTAAGTTTAAAAAACAACCATGAGGATGAGGATATAAATCATCATGAGGATGAAACCAACATGTAAGTTTACATCTACAAGCCACCTACAAGCTATCTTTGTGCACAAAACCTCACCTCTCCATCTGAGCCTCACCTCCCTCCCCCCCCTATGCCTAAAAGCAGCTACCTACGATATGGTAGAGCTATCTTTGTGCACAAAACCTCACCTCTCCATCTGAGCCTCAGCTCCCTCCCCCCCCTATGCCTAAAAGCAGCTACCTACGATATGGTAGAGATATGTTTTTGTGCACAAAGCTAACTTAGAAGTACATTCAATCATCTTTCATTTGATCTTTTTTAATTAATGTTTCATCTATTTCATCTATTCCATCTATTTAATCCGCTTGCTAACTACTCTACTAGCTAGCCTTTTTACAAAGACTACTTTCTTTGTCTACTTTCTTTGTTATTTCCTAGTCTCTTCTCCCCCTCACCCCTCATCCCTTCTTTTTCTTTTCATCCTCCTTAACTACTCAGTTTCCATCACTTATCATTCAACATTTATCATATTAATCGTGTCTGCTGTGTCTATCATAATGGACATATTAATCGTGTCTGCTGTGTCTATCATAATGGACACCCTAGCTGAGGGAACTGGGACCCTCCAAGTCTCATTCAAGAGCACACTTGATCTTTGTGGACAGCCAGTAAGGTCTATGGAAGAAGCTCTTGAGGTAATGAAGACGCTTGCCCCAGAAGAGGTCTATCCAGCTGCGCTTAGAATCCAGGACCACGCCCACTCATTCCTTAGCGAAGCAGTTAAGTCTCTAGAGAAGCTGCACGATTTCATCGAACAAGGCGAGTTTTGGAGAGAGCATGAAGAGAATGTGGAGGCATTCCACGACTCATGGAAAATCACGCGTGACGCGGTTAGAAGCCAGCAGGGTGTGGCCCGATTCAACGACAACCTCCTGCTACGTGCGAAGACACAGTGGGGTGAGGGCCAGGCGAATGCTCTTTTTCTCCGCATCAAAGGTGACACAATGAAGCGAAAAATCAGCAAATTCCTCACAAGCGGCATATCCTATGAGCATACACGAGCATCCATCAACAATGCATATGTGGCACGGAGGTCTACTCGCAAACGTGGAATTCGGCAAGAAAGCCGAATCATGCAGGCTGATCTAACCAATGCCTTCTTAAGCCAAGACACTACGCCCTTAGACCATAGTGTCTTACAAGGCTTGGAGCTAGGAATTGACATAGATGGGTTTGTGTGTCCAAGTATAGGTATGTATTCTTACCTATGAGCCTAGTCTAAAAGATGTGGTTTTAACCTTTAACCTTTAATCTTTACTAGGCTTGGTCTCTGAGGCGCCTACTACCCAGCCACCTACTCCTAAGAAACAACAAAAGAATAGCTGCCAAGAAGAAGATGATGATGATGAAGAAGAAGAAGGCCATTCTAGCAGCCAGGCTAAGGATAAGGAAGATCACAACAACAGCAGCAGTGGCAACAGCAATGATGAAAATGGCGACAGCGACAGCAATAGCAATAGTGATAGCAACAGCGATGGTGATAGTGAAGGTAGTGGTGATGCCGATGATGATTTTCAACCTCACCCACGGAAACGAGCTAAGCACACAACACCACCTATGTCTACATGTGGCTGTCCTCTCACAAAGGCTGCTCTCCAGCGTTTAATACCAGCTAAGAAAAATGTTGTACTTCCCACAGATACATTGAAGAAACAGGCTCTCAGAAAAATTGGCCGAGAAACTAGCAGCCCTAACGAATCCCACACCTTACGCTTATGCCCCAAACATACACATGCTCTCTGCAGGCAGCTAGGTATCTACCATCGTTTTGCTATTACTCAGGCTCATAGACGGCTTCTCTACCTTTACAAGAAGCTAGATTCATGGGACTCCGTGAGGCAGCAGCACCCTTCTTGGTTCAAAGGCAGCATTGGAAATCTTCAGTCTGGCTGGCGCTTTGAGGCCACTGCCCTACCACTAAGGCCAAAGGTTTCCAAACCAACCCAGATGTCATCCTTTACCTTTATGAAGCTATATAAACGATGCTTTGGCAAGGCCCCGCCCCCTGAAGCTATGCATATGGACCAGCAAATGAAGAAGGATGGTAGTGTGGTAGTCACTGGGCTCTTTAGTTGGCTAACAGAAGACCTTGACGGCCAGCATCCTGGTGGTATCCTGCCTATGATCTTACAGGAGTTTGATATGTATGACTGGCATTACCGTGCCCGTCCTGGAAAACCTCGAATTGGCTGGGCCCGGAACATGTGGTTTAGCTTGGTCCAGCAGCTTGTCCGGCAAGACCCTGCTTATTATGCATTCTATGTGTTCTTTCGGCCAGACCATGCTTGGCGACTAATCTCCTTTCCTTATTACACCAAGAGCACCTATCCTGGGGAATCTACGTTTTTTCGTCATATTGATGTGAATATCGCTGATTTCGTACGTACTGGACGTGGTCAGAATGCTTTACAAGGTAGTCTTGCACTATCTGTGGAGGATGACAACAACTGTACAGAGATGCTCCTTGGTATGCATCGGGATATCAGAGAATGGAATGACCGCCTTCGTCTCCGAGGCTATACAAAAGATGGCTATGTACAACAGATTCAGCCTACAATGTGGACTAAAGATGATGAGGACCACTTTGGCTACACGTGGTCTAAACAGAAGTGTACTATTGGAGATGTGCGCCTTAGCCTACCTGGCCTGCCACACGGCTCTACTGGCCCTGCTACTTCACGTCGCCTCAATATCCTACCTTGGTTTGTGGGTATTGGAGAAGACCACCAGACATTAGATGTGGCTGAGTCAGGAACTTGGGGTGACCTATCTCACTGCCACCGCAGTTTTTACTCTGGCACTAAGACCCCTTCAGGCTTGCCCAATAGCACTTTTGGAGGGCGTATGGACCAGATTTTCCCAGCAACTGTACGCCTTGGGCGGCTGGGTGCAATTTCAGATGCACTAGTTGGGCAGGTGCGCTGGGACGAGGTGGATGTACGAGAAGAGCTTGACATTTTATTTGGAGATGACGATGTGGCTGCTTGGGGTTTTATACAGAGGTGGCGGAAACACGCTCAGCAGCTATACATTGCTGCCTTTGAGAAGCTAGTTCTAACAGAACGTGCTGCGTTTGGGGCTAACTCCTTCTTCGAGCGTACCCAGCTTGGCCTTGATGTTACCCCTGTGTTTATTAAGGGTGGTTTTTACTGGTCTAGGTTTCAGGATGAGCACGAGCACGAGCACGAGCATGAGCATGAAGAATGAGGGTGAGCATGAAGAGTGAGGAATGAGGATGAGGGTCAGATGCTACAGAGGTAAATTTTGTGCACAAAAGCCTGTTAGTTTTTAATAGGAGCCTAGGAGACAGCTAGTATTGGCAGCCCACAAACTATTTTTTGTGCACAAAACCCTATGCTTCAGACGAATCCTACCTTACTTTGTAGGAGGTAGAAGAGAAAGGACAGACCAGGCAGGACGAGAAAATGGATAGAATGGTAGATTAAGGAGATTGAGTTAAGAATTGATTGAGCTAGTTAAAAAACGCTTTTCTTTGCTAGTTTCTAAAAAGCTGTAGCCGCAGTACCCAAAGGTCTGTAAGGGGAATACCCAAAAATACAACGCCAAGATGCATAATTTATGCTACAGCAAAATCTTGGCATGTTTGCTATGTTTGGGACCCAATTGGGTACCTATGGGTTGGGTTGGGTCCAAGGAAAAAACCCAAAACCCAGGCTTGGGTCTAAGTTTTGGAGCCAAACCCAACCCAATGTTGGGTTGGGTTGGGTTGGGTCTTGGGTCCATTGGGTTTTGGAGAAGTCTAACCCTACCTAATAGATAGATGGCCAATAAGGGTAGAATAACTATAAGCAAGATAAGCCAGTATATACAAAAGGAGAAGGATATAGTAGAAGTAGAGTAGATAGTAGATATAGAGCGGCAGGAAGCTTGAAAAACGGCTACTAGGAGAGTGCTACCAAAGTATATAAGTTATAGAAATATTAGATATAAAAGGAATACTTGTTCTAATTAGGATATGTCAGCAATTCAGGCTGATTCTCTGCCTGAATTCCTGGGACCAAAAGTGGCTCTTTTGGTCTAAAGATTGTGCTGACTAATTCATCCCGCGATCAAGCATTTTGTTGCGGAATGAATGGCTATTGTTTTGATCTGATCCATCAGATCAAAGATCATCTTCTCTCGTCTGAGAAGATTCGCAACCCGAACCCCGTTGCTGAGATCAATGGTTACAAGATGAGATGAAAGACTTGATCATTTCGGATTCTGTGGATCTTTCATCCCATGTTCTGAGACCTTTGGTCTTATGTTTATCTGTTTAGTCTAATGTTCTATAAAACCTGATCTTACCCCTTAGTTAGTTGGGCATCGAATTCAATCTTTTTGGGATCAGTAGTATCTTTGTTTGATTCTTTCCTTCCATTCCATCCTAAGTTTGGATCCAGCTTGGTCGTATGTCATTCCATCTGATCCGTGTTGTCTGATCTTTTGGTCTTATCTTTACCCTTTCCTCCCAAGTCCCCTGTAACTTGGTATCCCCTGTTCAGCTGACATCCTCTGCGTGACGTCATCACCTTTGGTCTGTCCCCGACACGCTGAAAGGATCGATATTATTTTAATTAATTATCTTTATTATTAGTTAAATAATACTATAAAGTATATATTAGTAGGTAGAATAGTGGCTTGCTTGCTTATAGGATATATTACTCCTATTAATTATATAAACGAATCAATATATATATATATATATATATATATATACATAGATAGAATTTTACAACTAGTAGATTTATATTAGTATATATTTACTTAGACCTCCTTTATTAAGATCTTATAGTAATCCTAAACTAAAAGTAAGATTTAAGAATATTCAATATTATATAAATATTAATAGATAGATAGTAAGAAATATAGAGAATAGTCTAAAAGAAAGAGATTATATTAATATATATCTTAATAAATCTAATTTATTATATTAAATTATAAAATAAAGAATAAGATCTATTTATATATTATTAATTTTCTATATAATTAACTAGATTCTACCTAAAGATTTATTTATCTAATCTATAAATTTATATAACTTTAATTATATATATAAAGTATTTTATCTCTTAAAAATATAAATAATATATACTTTATTAATCTATATTATTCCTTTGTAAAGCTTATTTACTATATTTTATTTAAGACTATTAGATATAATAAATATATTAGATTAATATATTATATAAAATAAAGAGATAAAGAATATAAAAAATTAAGTTATTAATTTTAATATAAGATTACTAAATCTTAAAAATAAAAAAAGATATTATCTAATAAATATCTTAATATATAAACTTTTTTTAGAATAAAAATTTAAAAGTATCTAATATACAAAATTATTCTTATAATTTATAAACTATTAGAATATATAAAGCTTTAGAGTAAGTTTAGTAAAAGTTCATATTACTTTAAGCTAAATAATTTATATTAAGTTTAGGAAAGAGGCTATCTATAGGGTCTTAAATAGTTATATATATAGAGTACTCTTAGTTATTTATGTTACAAACTGGCTGTCAAGCAACGTGAGTATGCTCTTGTCCGTCGAGTTACTTACCGTAAGCCGTTATCCTGCAACCGTGCCGTTACCATCGCTAGGCCTTACACAGGTTCGAGTCTTTAGGGATCCTTGTACGGTAATGCTTAAATCAGGGAATCCGCTAGCAAGTCAGTCACGAGTGAGGCTATCATAAGTAAGCTCCTAAGCTAGTTGAGGTTTGTCTTTAAGGGTTTGATTGTGATCAAGTAAACTGTTAATCTGATTTGTATTGTAGGTCTCAATAACAATAGAGTAATAATTGCGAAGAACTAAATATATAGTAGGTAAAGAGTGTCCTTATATATCTAGTCCTCCTGGTCATCCTGTCCTTTTATTAGGATAGGTCCGTTCCTACTGTTAGGTCTGTTCCTGCTGTTAGGTCCGTTCTATCTGAACGGACAGGATCTATTATTAGAATAGATCTATGGTTATATGTCATAGGGCCGGAAGTGGCCTCTTATATATTATCCTTCCTATATATGGAGTATATATTATAATAGTAAGTAATAGACTATATTTGGCTCCTATTAGCGCCTTAGGCACTATTATAGCCCTATGCCCCTTTTGGCTGTATATCTGTTATGGCTGGTTGTCTATACTTAGCCTAACCGCCAACTGATTGGGTTATAACTGCTCCTAGGAGACCTCTCTATGGTAGGTCTATAATACCATCCCCCTCTTTTAGGTCTTTAGTCTCCAAAGTCCTTTTGATTTATTTTTAAACATATAAGCCCCCTCCGGTAGGTAAGTTCCTTACTTTTCTGTTCTTCCCATATTTTGCTAACCATACCTTCCTCTAGAGTATCTAGTTATAAACTCTATCAATTAATCGAGGATAAAGGTTTCAAGTCCTTGACCCTATATGTTTATTATACTTATCTTTACTATGTTTATATTCGTTCCGACTATTTAAAGAGTTATTCATACCATATCCGCGTAGGTCGCGGTACTAGGTGTGAAATACCCGAGAAGGCTTTTACTAATTCTGAATAGCGCCGCCTCCTAAGGTTATAGGGCGCCCTTAGAAACCAAGAGAAGAAGTTCCTTAAGGCTTAGGCTGAAATCATCACCAAACTTCGTCGGATCCGGAAATAAGAGAATTTGTTAAGGAAGCGTGCTGGCGACTTTATTGCTTGTGAGTATAAAGAAATAGCTTAACTCAAAGAGCTTAAGCGTTATAAAAAAGAAGAGATTAAGCGTCTTAAAAAGGAATATATCGAGGTCGATTGTTATAAAGAATATAAAGCAGAGTCTTCTAGTGCCGCTACTGGTTTTAACAAAACTACTCTTCCGGTTATTAATAACCAGGTTCTTACGGTAACTTATGCTAGTGATAATCCTACTCTGACGTAGATGATTATATTGGTGGATCCTAGTTTTTCTTTGGATAGTATTAATTTTGACGCTTTCTTATGTTCTGTCCTGTAGGGGTTCTCTTTGTCTATGTGTAGTACTATCTTACTAATTAGTAACAGCTAGTTAAGTTCTTAATAGGTTCCTATGTATTTTCTAAGGTAGAATAACCTTACTATTTCACTAGGAGTTATTACTGATTGTTATACTATTGGTCTACTAGGATTTCTTTAACTTCATACTCTTCTTCGCTAGCATTTTCGATTTCAACTTCTGTGGCGTTTTCTGTATTTTCTGGTGCTGGTTCTAATAATAAGATATAAAATACTGGGTGAACTTATTTTATGCTTTCCGGTAGATGTAGTCGGTAGTTCATAGGTCTAGTTTTTTTGTCGATGGTAAATGGTCCTAGACATTTATGGTCTAGTTTCTTACTTGGTTGTTTTGTCTTGATATTTTGTTGTAGTAAGTAGGCCTTATTGTCTGGCTTTATATCTAGTCTAGGTATATGTCTCTGGTTGATATATATCTTTATCTGGTGATTAAAGAACTTGATATCTCTAACTATTTATTGGTATAGGTTCTTGATGTTTTCTACTTATTCTTGCGCCTCTAGTACCACTGTGTGTTCCCTAATGGGTTTATCGATAAGTGTTAGGTTTCTTCTGTAATTTGCGAAGAATGGCGATAATCCGGTAGTTATATATATGGTGTTGTTATATGCGAATTATATAATAGGTAATAGTTCTGCCTAGTTGTCTTGCTGGTAGTTCATATAGTATCTTAGATACTGTTCTAGTATTTGGTTAACCTATTTGGTCTATCTGTTAGTCTACAGGTAGTAGGCTGTTAAAAGTCTATGATCAATACCTAGTTGGTTCGCCACTAATTACTAGAATTTTGATATAAACAGCTTGTCTCGATCCAAGGTGATCTTTTAAGGTAATTTGTGGTTTATAAAGATATAGTATATCAGTATCTTTGTAATCCCTTCCGCTGTTATAGTTTCTAACATAGATAATATATATATGAATTTAGTAAGTCGGTTAATAATAATAATAATTATATTATATTACTCCTCTGTCTCTGGTAGCTTAGTGATAAAGTCTATTGTGATCTACTCCTATAGCTATATAGGTACTTCTTTATTTTGTATTTCTCTATATGGTAAGTGTTAAGTAGGTTTGTTTTGTAAATATATATTGTAGTTTCTGATATAATTTCTAACCTTTCGATATATATTTAGTAGGTAGTAATTTCGCAAAATATATTTAATTATTTTCTTGATACCTAGGTATCTATATATTAGTAA